TATATATATATATATATATATTTTTTTTACTCCTTTAAATTTTTTTTTTTTTTTAGGGGGGGCAATTGCCCCCCCTAAGGCTCAAGTAGTTCCGCCCTTGCTATTGAGCATGGAAGATCCTACGTTGACCAACTGGAGCTATGCATATGGCTAGTGGGCATTGACCAACCTTGCGTTCTCAATAATGCCGCTAAACATAATATGTTCATCTCTGCCTAGACCTTAGTATTCTTCCCTGCTTTGTTTTCTCTGGGCTACATCTCCCTTTCTCTTTTGGGGTTAAGAACTTCCTAAGGCACTATCACTTCATGACAAATTCTTATTCCATCCTATAGAGTTCCGATTTTATTTTTTATTATGGATATTTAGTTTAATTAAGGTAAATTCATACACTTATCACACAGATCAAATTGAGTTGAGCAAATCTATGTATTTGATATCATGCCACCTCATGATAATGAAGTCCCATTGGTTAGAAGAGTCAATGAAGCATTGATGAGATCAATGCTTTCTCCTCCAATGAATAATTTTGACTAAGCTACTGATGTCCGACATGTGTGGAGCTGGAAGTGGAGTATGTTTGTTCTTATGGAAGTATGGTTGGTGGGCTTTGTCTCTACATGAGGTTGAGGTGGCTGAACGCCACGTTCTATTAAGATTTTTTTTTTGAGTGATTCTTTTATTGTTTCTTTAAATAGTTTTCATGAGTAAATTTTTTATTAAAAAGTTATTTTTTAAGTGGTAAGAAAGTCATCCAAAATGAAATATAAGTATTTCTTAAATATTTTATTTATAATAAGAATTATATAGAATCTCTTCCCGGGGATTAGTTTTATGTGACATTGATTTTTAATACCATCCGTTTGTTTGGATGGTTTTGATGAGTTGGAGACGATGTGATGTCGTTGAATTTGTCTCATTGAGACATTTATATTTATTATAATTTTATGAAAATTGAAATGATCCTAAATTTATTTTTAAAATTTCTTAATTCATAAATTATATCAAAAATTATGTATGATCATCAAATGAATTTTCTGATGGCGTATAAAAAAACTTAAAGTGAATTATAAGATAATTAGATAGCTGGTGAGTTTAAGTGCTTAAGTTTATCCCTCACGATGAGGAACTTTTATTTGGTCTGCTTACAGGACGTAGCTCAACGTTCGGCCGCCAGTAGAATCGCGCCACGCGTTCTCATTATTTACCGCGCGCTCCGACAACCCGGCCTGGAACGGACCCAGGATGGCTCGGTATTTCTCGATTTTGCTAGGTATTGCTCGATATTGCTAGGTATTGGTCGATTTTGCTCGGCAATAACCAATACCGAGCAAATACCTAGCAATACCGAGTTGTACCGAGTTTTTGCTCGGTATTGCTCTTCATAGAGCGGTATTTCTCGTTATTGCCAACCAATACCTAACAATACCTAGCAATACCGAGCAATACCGAGCAAATACCGAGTAATACATCGCAATACGCGAACATAGCAATCTCGGGTTCCGGTCCGAGTCAAGTCGTCGGGCCGAGCCGTAAAGAGTACGTAAGAGCATGTGGCGACATATTATTGGCGGCCGAACGTAACTCTACGTCCGGTCAGAGGACATAATAATTGTTCCACGATGAGTTATCTTCTCATTATCTACATCTCTCCTCTAATTCTTAGGCTTTATTTTAAACAGCTTTTTATTGATTTTTAAAGTAGTTTTCTTGTACAAAAATTTTTAATTCTAAAAATTTTTACAATAAAAAAATGTTTTAGAAAACATGAAGAAAGGCTAGAAAGCTATTCCAAACAAAATAAAAGTCTTATGAAGTTATTCATGATATTATACTATTTAGCCTTTTCCAACAACACTTAATATATAGGATAAAGACTTTTGCTTCGTTTGGGATGACTTTTTTATTTCTTTTTAGAACAGAGTAAAATGTCTGTGCTAAAATTCTGTTTTAAGAAGCAATAAAAATATGGTTCCAATGAAGCCTTTATATTATCATTGTTGTTGTTGTACTATTTAGCTTTTTGTGATTTTTCTCATTCTGAGCCTAAGTAAGTAATCATTCGAGCCAAGTCAACTATTAATTTTTTTAATTAAAATAAATTTGATTATAATTTATAATTTAAAATATATATTTTAAATAATTTAATAACTCATATTTATTTAAACCGTAATATAATCATAGCCTAAACTCTTTTTTAAATCAATCAAACAATATGGCTTACATTTGAAAGCTTCTCTGTCGTCATTTAGCCTTTGGCCCTTTGCCGTACGTTCACCATTTGCTGCATGGATCTGCGTTGCCGTGACGCGCCCTACTCTCAAATTTCAGTTTTCTTTCATTTTTTTTTTAATTAATAAGATTATTCTAATATATATTTTTATTATAATAGTATTAATTTTATTATATGGGTGTATAAAATTAATAATCTGTTTTTTTTTTCATATTTTTTATAATCCTGTTAATTTTCATATATATATTTTGGCATAATTATGTTCATGAATATTTATTAATTTAATTTTATTATTCAACAATTTATATGATTTTTTCTTCTTCTGTTCAAGATTTCACATAATAATATACACATTAAGAAAATTTCTATCAGATATTTATCTCATATATAAATATATTTTATTTTTATTGTATTTATAAAATTTTAATAGATTAATTATATTTATTTAAATTTAATAATACTTTTAATAGTTTAATTACATATTTATTTATATATATCAATATAGACTTCAAATGTTTGGGTTTATTTTTAAATTATTATTTGTGAATTTTGAACGTAGTTTTTAAGAAAATAAAATAACATATTTTATAAATTTGTCGATTATTGCGTATAAAGCCATATTTGCTTATATGGTCTTTTTTTATAAATTTTTATCACTATTTTTTCATTATGTTTTAAAAATTTTTGAAAATAATGTCCAAAGGAAATCAAAATCTCTATATATTAATCATAGCCTATGTATTGGCTATAGCAAACTCCAATCACTCTGCATCATCTTCTCTCCTTCGAACCCTACTTGACCCGAATGGACATGGACGGCGGGATGGGAGGCATGAACCCAGCTCCGGCTTCTCCGGCCATGCCCAGCGGTGGGGGGATGGGCCACGGAAGCATGGCGCACATGGCCTTCTACTGGGGCGAGCGGGCTCAGATCCTTTTCTCTGGATGGCCCGGCGATCGTGGCCACCACATCTACTTCCTCGCTCTGTTTCTCGTCGCTGCCGCCGCTGCCGTCTGTGAATTCCTCTCCGTCCTTTCCCGCCGCCTTGCCCCGCAACCATCTGCTCCGGCCACCCTACGGTCTACCTTCGGCTTGGCCCTCACCGCCATCCATACGCTTAAGATGGGATTGCTGTATTTGGTTATGCTCGCCGTTATGTCGTTCAACGTCGGCGTCTTCATCGCCGCCATCGCCGGACACGCCGTCGGGTTTTTAATTGCCGGCAGTGGCGCGTTTAAGTGGGCCCGTGGTGGTGGGCCCAAAGCTGCAGCTGCCGCTTCTCTTCCGCCTGTTGAGAAAATTTAATTATGAAGAGTCCATTGATTTCGGCTTATTTGGGACAGTTTTTTAAAAAAAATTTTAAACTAATTTTATTGTAAAAATTATGAAAAAGCTGTCCCAAATAACGCTTCATCTGAAAAAAAAAAATCTATGTTTGTAATTTGTGCTCAACTCAATTTGCTCTATTTGGGTCTTTGTCTGCGCAATTTTTTTGCTATTTTGCTTTTTAAACTTTAATTATAATTTATATTTGGTCTTTTTTTTTTCTTTCAAAATATTTTTATGTTAGAAAGATACTGTTCATGATAGTTTTATAAAATTAATTTTTCTATAATAACTTTGCAAAATAGTAAGTAAGCTATTACAAATAAAGCCTTAATATTTTGATAAAAAAAGATAGTCTGAGTTAGGCAGAAAGCAAAAATGAAATGTCAAGAATTTGAACTATTCAAGATTTTTTATAAGGGTGAAGCACAAAAATATTGATGTCATTTTAGTTAATTGTCTATGGTAGTAAATTTACTTGCACATATTTAAGTTTTATTTAGGACAACTTTTTATTACTTTCTAAAACAATTTTTTTATATATTTTTTTTTTGTTTAAGGCTTCATTTGTGACGGAAAGCCATCTCAAATGAAACTTAAGAAACTTTTGTACAATAAATCTACTTTAAAAAGTTGTAAAAAAATCATCCTAAGCAAAACCTTATTCTCAAGAGCAAGGCGTGACTATTTCTTCGAATTTGCTCGCATGCTTCAGTTCATAAGAATATCATGATTTTTACGTGAAAATCATGAAAACCACGGGGTATATCCTAGTTAAAATGATTATACTAGTATTTATTGTTGATTATAAATGAGGCCCTTCTTTTGGGAGGGAAGGCCTTGGCTTGCCCCTTGGTGGGAGTTGGAAGAATCTAGTGGCATAAGAATTTTTGTCAAGAGAGTATTGAATTGTTTGTTTGGTCGATGTAACTGGAGAGAATGTAGTTGATAATCAACCGAGATCGGAGGGACCATAGTCAGCATGTGACATCTAGGTCTGAGGAACCGTAGTGTATCAGCTGTGTATACTACATGAAAATCACTCATTACCGGCAGTTTGTTCCGGCGGTTTGTCGGCGTTCAAAAATCGCCGGAAAAAATTGCGTCGAAAACCTTTTCCGACAATTTTTTTTCACCAGCGGTGTATACCGCCGGTTAGGTTTTGACGGTCAAAACGGCGGTGACCGCCGGTTTTGTCACCGACGGCGTACTGGCCATTTAACCACCAGTATAATTATTGTCGTTATTACATCATAGACCGCCGGTACATTGCCGATGATTTTACCGGCGGCTTACTGGCGGTTCAAACATAAGGAATTGCCGGCGGTGAGATCCCCGATGTGTCGCCGGTGTACCGCCAGACACCGTCAACATACCGCCGGTATTTACTAGTGGTTTTAGTAGTTTTCTGGTGGCTTTAATTAGCCGTCTGGTATCGAAGTTTTCGGCGGCCAAACCGCTGGTTGGTCGTCGGAAACCTGTAGTATTTGAAAAAAAAAATTGACAGCCTCTCATTTATTTTATTGATTTTCATTCTAAACTCTAAATATGCATATAAAATATATCAATCTTCACAAATTTGGGCAACACGCCACTATAATCAATCACAACAATTATCACAAATATATTCATTAAAACAAATCAATAAGTGAAATCAAATAAGTTCATAACTAAGTTTATAAGTTTAATCAAATAAGTCCATAACTAAATTCAATAAGTGAAACCAAATAAGTTCATAACCAAATAAGTTTACAATAAGTTCATCGAACAAAAAAGAGTACTAATCCTCCTCCGTATCCTCGCTGTCTAGTGATGCATGTGACTGCTCTTGCTCTTGCTCTTTCTCCTTTTGATTTTCATCTCTGTAGGATTGCAGCTCTGCCTAAATCTCATTTTGAATCTTTCTCATCTCTTCTATCTCTCTCATCAATGCTGCAACCCTTTGGCTTACACTTTCTTCAGCTCCGCTAGGGTCATAAAATGCTGATGTGGATGAATTGCCCTCATAAGCATAGCCTTGCGAACCCCAGCCATATACCATCCCCCTCTGTCTTCCTCCAATAATATATGATCATGTATGGTCAGAAATATAGGTCGATCCTGAAGATGATCTCTCACCAATGGACTGACGACTTTCCCCAGCTCGTATAAAATCATCCTGTGAGAATAAATCCATAAAATATATTGATATTAGAATGAGTTTTATTATAATAAATTATATCGATAAAAGTCATCAGAAGGCCTCCATTTAATGTGACCAAATCATCTAAAGCGACTCTCTCTAATCTTATCTTCCACTGGAGCTACTCCAACCTTATCACGTATATGCTCATTTCGTATCCTATCTCTAAGGGTCAAGCCACTCATCCACCCAAGAAAAAACAACTTCATAATTTTATGGTGTCGAATGTTTGCCATTAAAAGAGATGCATAGTACTAAATTAAATGTTGCAGAGATGACGATGCTTAGGTCTGCCTCTACCTTTCTTAACATAAGTCAAATCTAATACCTCTACTTTCCTAATCGGGCCATCTGAAGGCTGTCGTTCTATGTGACCAAACCATCTAAGGCAACACTCTCTAATCTCATCATCCAGTGGAGGTACTCCAACATTTTCATGTATATGCTCATTTCGTATCCTATCTCTATGGGTAAAGCCACTTATCCACCTGAGCACCCTCATCTCTGCAATACTTAACTTAGTATTATGCTTCTCTTTTAATGACCAACATTCGACACCATAAAGCATTGCATATCTCACAACCATCTTATAGAATTTTCTATTAAGTTTGAGGGGGATTTTTTTATCACACAACAAGCTCGATTCATTCCTCCATTTCAACCATCCAACTTAAATTCTGCTGATAATATCCCCTTCTATTTCACCATCACTCTGAACAATAGATCCAAGATATCTAAAATGTGTACAATGACTTGATCGCCTAAAGTCACAAAACCCTCACTAGGCCTATTACTACTAAAAGTACACTTCATATATTTAGTTTTATATCTACTCAAGCGGAAACCTTTAGACTCTATGGTTGACCTCCATAATTCAAGTTTACCATCAACTCCCTCTCTAGTCTTATCAACAAGAAGAATATCATCAGCAAAAAGCATACAACAAGGTACATCCTCTCGCAAATATATAGTGAGAACATCCATGATTAAAGCAAAAAGATATTAGCTTCAGGCTGATCCTTGATGTAATCTAACCAAAATAGCAAAAACAACTTCAATAATAATAAAAAAAACTTAAAACGCAAACCTCGGAGGTCGGTTTCGTGCACGAGCGAGGAGCTGGGAGAGATCTTCGGCCTTGTAGTGGGGGCGAGACCTTCGTTTGGAGGACCTTTTCAGCGGCCAGAGGGACCTCGTCGGTGGCCGGAGGGTGCGTCTCGATCGTGAGAGGGCAGAGGAGACGAGGGTGAGCGTCGAGCAGGAGAGAGGAGCAGACGATGAAATGAAATGGAAGGCTCGGGACGGCTCATTTTATGGCATTTTCCAGCGGCTTTCCGGTAGTTTAAACTGCTGGAAATAATTTACTTAACACCGGCGGCTCAAGCCGCCGGTAACGCGACGGTAATATTTAATGTTGGCAGGTTAACCGGCGATTTCTGGACCGCCACTATTTCTGGCGGCTTTAATTTACAAAACCGCCGGTAAACACTGGCGGTCAAACCGCTAGTTAAGCTGTCATTATTACCGGCGGTTCTCCAACCACAGGTCTAGACCGCCGGTAATTGAAGAATTTCCTATAGTGGTATTAAATGTGTATTGGTGTGCATTAGATGTGTATCGGCTAGTACATACTATTTACTATAATACACATTATGTATTAGTTGTGCATTAGCTATATATTGGTGTGTACTAGTTGTGTATTTGATGTGTACTAGGTGTATTATAATACACAACTAGTATATACTAATACATAACTAATGCACACTTAATATATACCAATATTATAATAGTTTGTATTTTAAACCTAATTGATTTTTTTAGGAGTCATTTAAGTCAAATTTAAAAATCTTTTTCGTCATAGCACTTATATGATAGTGTTTTAATTTCATGATTTTTTTCGTAATTTTTTGGCACTGTTGCAAATTCTTAAGAAATTGACACCTGTCGGTATAAGTAGAGATTTTGGAACATACAAGTGTTTGTTTTTCAAACCAATTTCACCAATGTTTTCTAAATAAAATGATTTATTTTACGAATATTTTAATATAAATTTTGAAGCCATAAAAGAATTTTTATAAAATTTATATTGACAATTGATTAAATTATATAATTAAATAATATTTTATTAGAAATATATTATACCACTTTACAGAATCCATTAAATAAGATTTTAATTATTTTTCCTTATTCATTTCGGCAATAGAGATCTGTTAGAGGAAAGTGAATGAAAAAAGTGAGGAGAGAGAAAAATAAAATATAGTTTCAAAGATTGCAGTGCAATTTTTATCTGTCGAGCTTGTTAGGAAAATTGTTCGTCTCGCTGTAAGGAACAATTGCCCTATCTCTAATTTTAATAATTTTATATTTTTGATATTTTTTGATCAAATTTATATTTTCGTTATCGAAAAATGATGATAAGTTTGTATTGATAAAACTTTCTCTGCATAACTTTTTGCATGAAATTGATCTCGTCAAAATGAGCATTTTGATTGTAACATATTAAAATTTTAATGATTAAATTGGAAGATATGACTTTTTTGAAGTTAATGCATAATATACAAATTTGATATATTTCACTGTATTTATACATTTGTGCATTTCTTATATATATGATATTGATTTACATTATATATAAAAATATAGCATTTGCATGTAAGGAATATTGGTTGTTAACACTATAATGAATACATGTTGGCTCTTAAAATATAATATACTGCGCTAGAGGGTGGGTGGGCCTACGGGCTTTCCTTTAAATAAAATGCATGTTAGAGGTGTAATCCTAATTGTAGCTTGTAAA